GATGACTACAAATCTGGCTATGAGTACGAGGCTCTTTTAAATTTGATAAATTATAAATTTATTTGCGTACGTGTGGTAAGAGATGTTCTATTTTTATATATTTTTGGTTTTAATATTTAATAAGTCTATATTTTTTCCGAGAAATCGAAGTGACTCGGTTCGGCGATTAATTGCTTACAACACGATTATTTAAAAAAAATAGCTTGAGGACGTAACTGTTTTCAGGACGTTTCGGAGTAACTCAAAATTACATTTTATTTTAGAATTCGTGCAAAACAGTACTCCAAATGTGTTTCGTCATATTATTATAATGTTTCAATAAAATTCATTTCATTTATGCTTATAATTGTTTGTTTACTGTTTCGTTGATCGTCATTGACTTACAATTTCATCGTATTCAAAGTTACATACTATCGCCTTCTTTAGCTGACAAATTTGGCCTCTTTTTTGGTGACGACTATAAGAAAATATTTACACATTAATTACCTAAATTTCTATCACTGATAATTACCTACCTTAATCAGGCCCAAGTAAGTATGCCTTCAGTTTTGTATGAAAAACCTATTTTTCTACTTACACTATGGTAATATGTACAATATATAGCGCTAAATTTGAACGCGATATTCATTTATGAGATTCATGAACACTGGGTGTTTAGGTGATTATAGGAATAATATTGCTGGATCTGAGTCACTTCATATATTTTAATTCATATTTAAATGCCTCTGTGGCCGAATGGTTACCATGCCGGACTGCCACGCAGAGGTCCCAGGTTCGATTCCCGGGCTGGGAGAAATAATTGTAAGACCTACATTTATTTATCTCATGTTTTGGGTGTAATTTGTGGTTGTCTATGTGTGTGTCCATGGCACCCGCGATACAGGGTTTCCCTAGTGCGGGCCTATATTGAGTGTGTGCGTATTATGTACATTTTGATGTACACGGTGCTTTATGAGAATATCGAAGTTCATAAATCTTTACTAATTCACTAACAACACATTTAGGTCATTATTACCACGTGTATAGGTTATTAAATACAAATTACCCAAAGAGAGGTGATTTCGCCAGTTAATATGAACAAATCTTAACATAAATAGCGAATAACAAAATCATATGACATCCTTGTTAACTACTTATTTGTACTTATTACCTTGTTACTATTAAGCTTTATATTTGGTATTAGTCAAATGTTGAATATATTATGAACATTTTGAATACCTATAAATTATTTATTACCTAATGCCAAACTAGGAAATACCCTGTAGCGTGAGTACCAGAGTAATAGAATTCACTCCGGGGCACAACCCAGAACATTCATACCAGAAGCAATAAAAAAAAATAAATTCCAAATTGGTTTTACTGGGAATCGAACCCGGGACTGGGCACTGGGCAGGCAAACGACTCTAAAATTGAAATCAATTTAATCAATTTTAGAGTCTGGGCAAACCGTTGCGTTACCGGGGTCGTAAAATAAATTATAGAACATTTTTAACCTAGAAGTTTCTATGGCACATTTATTAGGGTCGTATTCTAGAACTCTACTCAATGCTCAAGTCAAGATTGCACTGGAAACACAAGCACTGGAAATATGACCCTAATGACAGGGACTTGAGTATGATTTCGAGTGCTTTGAATCATACTCAAATCCTGACTTGAGCATTGAGTAGAGTTCTAGAATACGAGCTTTAGAGATTTATTTTAGTCTTGTTTGAGATATCGTTTTTTTAAAAATCACAAATATGCATGCATGGTCGAAGACCTTGTTTATTACCGAAAACAAGATATTAAAATTTATTTGCGTGATTATGTGTGTCATTCGTTACAGAAGATATTGTAAGTCATTCGTGGTAAGCGATAATAAGACTTATTATCGCTGTAGAGTACGAGTAGGTAAGTACTTAGTACTTGGTCACGTTGTGAACGCACCAAGGTCATGATATTTTTCATAATGATAGCGTTGATAACTCAATGTCGTATTAAAGTGACACAAAAAGATATTTTCCAAGATCCGCAGACATTATATGCGTGTATATGGATACGTTTGTATCTTTATTATGAAAACTCATTGAAGAAGTATTCTTAAATTAATATAGCAAACACTTTGCCGGCCCGTGAGGCCACAAGATCTAGAGCGATGATTCTCTAAGTTGTCTATCTCGACCCCCCAGTGGTCCACTCCAATCTGCAAGGGGTCATTCAGTGAACAAAAATATGGAGAGTATAGTCATATACATGAGATACCTGACCCCCTAACATGCCCAAACCGATCTTTTGGTTCTGAGAGCCATCTTATGTATTGAACAAAGAAAAAAATAAAGCAATTTCAACTTTATTGCTATACAGTGGAGTGTTGCTTGAAGATGATGAACATATCTTTAAAACCAATACTAAATTTCGTCATCTAATTTCCAAGTAAATTGGTCGAGCGGCTTGTTGTATCGACTGCCAGTTACAATGCCCGTGGTTCGATTCCACGAGCTCTGTTTTGTTTTAAAGTTATATTCTTAACAGCATTGTTTCACTTTTTAATGTTAACGTTGACCATTCACAACATTTGTTCACTAGAAATTGCCTAAGGTGGGTGGGTAGATATTATTAATAAAGCGTAGGGTGGGTATGGACAGATTAACAAATCACGAAATCGCTCTGCCATTTGTATACGATCGTGTCTTCTGTGATTACGTATTCAGTTTTAATTACTTTCAAGGTTTTAGTGACTTTCAAAGTTTTCTTGTTTTAATATGCCGCACTTAACGGAATTATTAAAATTAGAAATCATTGTTCTGTATGAACAAGACTTAGACGTTCCTTACACCTATCCAGACGTTAAAAAAAAGAAGAAAATACAATATTATACAGACATAACTAAATAATATTTTATTTTTAATGTGACTCGAATCACCCTTGCCTCAATTTGCAAAGAATCCTTATATTCCTTGGCCACGACAGCCTTACTAAAGCTGGTTGAAATTTGTGTTCCGTATTTAAGTAAAAACCATACCGTAAAGATCAAATTGGCTTAAAAACTTTCTTAAAATGTCATTCACTAATGAAACGAGTCATACCAAAATAAATTTTACGGGTCACAGGATAAAGACTTAAGTTTGTTTAACAATTTTCTCCACATTTTTGTGCTCAGAACCAAAAGGTCCACAAAGTCGGCTTGGGGGTATCTTGTGTATGACTATATGAGACGTTAATGGTTGTTAAAATGGGTTCATAACAGTGGACTTTAGGCAGGTTGTGACAAAAAAAATGTTGGCGTTGGTAGTATCTATGTAAATAATAACGCAACACACTCAACATAGCCCTTAACTAGGGAAACCTTGAGTCGTGGGTGCCATGGACACACACATAGACAATCAGTAATTACACCCAAACTCACGAGAGAAATGGCCATTCAAATATTTCTCCCAGCCCGGGAATCGAACCTGGGATCTCTGCGTGGCAGTCCGGCCGTTCGGCCACAAAGGCAGTTAATACTTTCTTAAATTAAAGTCAGGCCACACAGACGCGGAATAGCGGCTCGGGGCGAACCTGCGGGAAGCGAATGCGCGCCGGGGCGTGCCACACAGCAGTCCCGCGCGTAGTTCGGGGCGGGACAGCGGCGCGAAGTCGGGGAGTGTGACACCAAAAGCGTCACGCCACACTTCATTTTCAACCTTTTTTTCCATCCTCTAAGTTATACAGATAAAGAAAGCACCATGTCACTGTCGGATAATGCTGATGAACTTCTTCTTTTATTAGCGCTAATACTGTTGAAATTCCACATTCCTAGTGCTTTCGCTTTGGACAGACTAATACTGCTAATTGCTATCCAGATTTTGTTTTCTTTTACTATACCAAATGACGGCATGAACAAGTCGTGGCATAACAAGGTAAAAAATAGTATACTCACGAATTTGGTTTGGCCCCTTGGAAATCTTTCCCAAATCCTTCTTTAAACTGTTTTTATAATTTCTATCATTTGTATTAATTTTTTTTATTAGTTATAAAGCAAAACAAAACCTTATAACTAATTACAATCTATCCATTTTACAAGACTAATAAGCAGTTTTAATTTAACATAATTTCCTAAAATAAAAGTAACTTATATAAAGAAATTGTCCTTCGACAAAATATATTTTTAGTTAATGGGAAGACACTTCGTTCTTGTGTTCAGTCTTATTAACCCTTAAATACTTGTGTCATTTTCATAGGACACGATTACTACGGTACGGATCCACAATTTTCGCCGAGTCAGTATACCACATATAGATAAATTAGAAAAATTTTTACCCTTTCTATTTTATAGTTTGAGCTTTGTTGTATCTAAAAATAATATTATTATCATAATGAGATTGATTTGTGAGACTTATTACAAGATCATAAGTGTCCTTACTAATAACGTTGATTACAGAGGCATGTTGAGTTAAATAAAAAAAAAAAACTTTTAAAGGGAAATATAAACTTATATTTGTCAAAAATCTTAAAAACTAAGAATAAAGGAACATAAAATACTTCACGAACAAAAACATAAACAAAAACATATGTACTTTAGTCTTCTGAAGTTAAGTCTTCAAAAAATTACAAATCTAGGAACATTTTATTTTGATTTTTTTTACAATAAAATAAATGCGCATTAGACCTCGTTCTCACCCGTGTACACGCCTAAATAATGCCTATTCGTTCTCGCCTTGACTTTTCAAGGCCCAAGTTATAGCGTTCTGGGAATAAGTCAGTGAATTCCACTCCAAAGCCGTTCAAAAGTTCAAAAATAATCTTTATTTCATAGGTAAGCATTATTACACTGGTAATCGTCACAATGGTTACACTCTACCGCTCATTCGTGAGGCAGATTCCCCTGAGAAGAATGAGCAAGAAACTCTAGGGGTTGCTCTTTGTAAATAACATTTGTACACATTCAACATTTACAATATATTTATTTTTGTTTTGAAACATCAGACATCGAGACTACCTCCATGAGCTAAACGGGTTACTACCACGGATTTTTATCATCCAAGTACGCAGAAGTTGTATAATAACCTTTAGTATAAAGTTTTTGTTTCACTGTAGTTTTAAACCTTGTGAAAGGCAAATTTTGTATATTTTGTAAATTTTGTATAGTTCGCCATATAAATGTGGTAGTGTTGGAATATCGGCCTATATCTCAGCCTACGTCTTATCCCCCGATAATAGAAAGGGGAAGGCAGAATTAAACCAGACTTGTGATTGGTACAGCTTTAATTATTTGGGGCACATATGGAACAAGCAACAATGCGATGTTTTTTACATAAAAAAACATTGCAGGCATTGTTTCGAACGCGTTAGGTATGGCAAAACGAAACAAATTATGATAAAAATAAAAGACAAAACCTCAATAACTTGATGTAATATTTTTGACATAAACTCAAACGACATAAGTACAGAATCAAAACAATATATAAATTCAATGAGTTTTTAGTTATTACCTACAGAAAAAACTTACTTAAGTAATAATTACACACTCCTGATACTATTATGGGTCCGTACAGACCCGTGTTTATTAAAAAGTAGAAAACTGAAAAAAATGCGGCAATATCCTGTCACTGTTTGGCAGACACAGAATTAGGCAGATACACGGTAGGAGGGGATGGTAACTTTTAGATGCGTTTAGTATAAACAAAAATGTGCATCATCATGGGTCCGTACGGATCCGTATAGTATTAAAGGGTTAACACTGGCACTAATATTTATTTTATTCACTATAAAATAACTACACTAAAACAAGTCAAAACGTTTAGTTCTTTGTGGTCTACGCACTATATTTGTATTGTCAAGTAGCTGTATAGCCTCTATGTTCACGTGAAGATGAAGTTCGTGAGCTTCGGCGTACTGTTTTATAACTTTATCTACGGGCTCTATATCTAAATCACGATGCAGATCCTCTTTTCGTATGTACCAAGGAGCACCCACTATTGTCCTCAGTATTTTATTTTGGAAGCGTTGTACTATCAGCCCCAGAGCTGGATACCATAGGTATTTTATTTCACACAGATAGCGAAGAGCATTTGCCAAATAGCCAATACATTTTCTTGAAACGTATGTCAAGTTCTTCCTTTTTCTTCTTGATGTGAGCACTTGTATTAAATAAATAGGGGTATGATTGCACCAATGATATAAGTTTTTCGGTCGAATTCATTTTAAAGCGCACTCCATAGTTGTAAAAAAATACAACGTCCAAGCCCGCTGAAGCCGCGCTAATGTCCCGCTCCCGGACCGCACCTCGCCACTGACGCTCTGTGAGGACGGTTGCATAGAACTCAATGTAATACAACCGTTCAGCCCCGCACTGCGCCGTCTCGCCGCGCGGCCGCCGCGCGTTTCAGTGTGGCAGGGTTCATATGAAGTCGTACATTACAAAACTTTCCTGCGCCCGGAACGCTTCCGCGGCCGCCTCTGTGTGGCCAGAGCATTAGACATATAAATTATCTATGAAGTACTTAAACATTTCACAACAAACAAGATATATGGTTAAATAAATGTATAAAAGTTAACATTTTGAAAGTTTCTCAATAGCACTGTGTCAGCTGTCTGACTCTGATGAGGGTTTATCTATGCAAAACATACAAAATTGACACGTGGTTTCTTAGACAAAAAAAAGGGAACCTAGAGTCTTATTCGCTTGTGATTGCGTTCACTATCCTTAAAATCATCCGGGTTATGTATGGTATATGTTCGCACAGCAGTGTTAATTTGCAGAATAATCAGGTAAGGCGGTAGTACCTACTCAAATTAAGGCTATTAAGGCTATCAAAGCGGTGTGACACACATTTAATTAATTTTTTTCTACAATAATACTTTAAATGATACTGAAGTGCATAATTATTTTATATTTGGATGCTATTTTCATGTATTCATAAAATGGCTCCGTCACCGTAGCCAGGTCCGGGATCCATAACCTAAGTATCCATAACCTACGGTGACTGAGCCCATGAAAGAGTAGCTTCAGAATAGACGAAAAAGTGCGGACATTCAAAAACGCTGGGGGGTTAGTTACAAACACCTTTTGAGAAACTGAAATCATTATATTACTATACAGGTTATATTATACGAGTATGGGGTTACACCACTTTTGACCTGATAGCCTCAATTCTGTGCAGACATAAACCCTACCTATAGTCGATTTTCTAAAAGTTAAAACACATGAGTTACTTATTTGTATTGTGTCTTAAAGGTGTACTAAGGCAACGAGTATATTATTTAGTCAATAAAATGCTAACTTACCCCCTTCCCATGCCTAACAGCTTCCTCCTTTGCCTGTAGACCTTTGGTATCCAATTTAACTTCCAGAAGTAATGGCTGCAAAGTCCCCGTTCCTTCTTTACCTAATCCCTGGCCAGGAGTCCAGCCCATTTTTTGAAGAAGGTGCATTCCCATGCCACCTTCCACTGGTGCCGCTCGTGTCAATTGATCCTAGACATCACACAATAAATTATTTAGAGGAAAAGCGGGAATGACAGGATTCTGCACCAAAAGTGATTATCAAACTTATGATACGCACAAAGGAACAGATATCTGTTCGAAATATTATTCAAATTTAATGTTTAAGAAACAGTTTTAGTGTACAAATTGTATTCACTTCAAAGGTCTTTCTCAAACGTTTTTCTCCCTCTTCCCTAATCCCTCTTCTGTTGTGGTGATACTTACCTCTGTGTCAGGTGGAGACCTATCACGTCGCGACAGTCCTTGGTAGGACGACGTGGTATAGATGTGGATAAACAACACACCGCGAACGCCTTATTAAAAGCTGCAACAAATATTCATGAATTCCCCCTGTGTTGAGCGCAGTTCTTCTAAGAGCCGTGAAACATCCATTATTACACATGGACAATATGTAAATTGTTATTATCTATATTTAAAGAGGTAAATATTTTCTAGTTCACGTTTCGGTAGCTCAAAGAATAACTAAGCTCGTATTACGAGTAAGCACACAGGCAAGACTGACGTTTTTTAAATAAAATAATTATAGCTTTCATCTCAAACTCTACAGATTTGGTCAGGCATTAATCGTAATTAAATTTCATTAAAAAAAGGAAACTTTAGCTCGTCTGTTTTTTATTGTAAATGAAAGAGATTTTAAATAAAAAGATTTCCATGAAATTCAAGGCAAAGATTTTGTATATAAATTGTTTAACTATGAAACGGGTCATAGGACTGAATTATTCAATAAATAAGAGTTTACGTTGAATTTGGGTTCTATAAAAAAGACACGATGTTGACGTATACAAATAGTTACAGTATAAAGTTTTTTGTAATAAATTAAATAATATAAATTATAAACAAATAAAGCATAGTCAGTCCTTAAGTAAAAGGGGAAATCTGAATATTTGTTCGCAACATTCGGGCAATGGTAGAAGACATGCCAATAAGGCATGAAGATTACCACTGCACTATGATAAAAACCGAATAGTGTAATGGGTAAACTCTTAAGGGCGTTCGCTTTTTGAAGTGGGAGTACGCGTCTATGCAGCTGAAGATAGACTGGCTTCTTCAACAAATCAAGACAACGGTCAATCAAAGGTGACATGCGATGGCATCGCGAGTATAATGCGGTCCTTTTATGTTGCTCACTGCCTTAGTTGAATTAAACAGACTATTTTGAGCTCTTCGAACACGAGTTTCCACTGCAAACAGCGAATGCTCTGAGAGTTCTTCCTTTACACTGTAATTTCATTAATCGGGCCGATGAGTGATAATCACAACAACATTTGAAGACTTGTTGTAAGTGAAAAGCAGCGAATCGAAACAAATTAAACGTCATAAGAACTCGGAAAGACGTCATATTATTTACTAACATGTAGTATTTCTTATTAGGCCAAAAGTTTCATGCAGATTTGTCTGCGTCGATCGAATCAGCCTCAGTTTTCAAATTCGAAACAATAAAAGTTAAGGTTATATATATTTACAACACATTAATAATGTTGTACTTTACGAACGTGTAAGAATTATTAATACTTGATATTGAGTCTAAATAAATGTCCACCTCTTGTGTGGTGTTGCTGTACAATGCGCAGCCGAGACTCGTGACGTGATTAGTATATGAACGCATCTGCATTTAAATTCGGATCTAAACAAAAAAGTAATCGGATTTTGGAGCTAAAACTAGACTATAAATATAGCACCCCTCATGGAAGAATGGCATAACTGGAGTTACATCAAAAAAGTTGATTGCTCCATTAGGTACAGAAAAATATAATCCACATCCTCTCTCATTCTTGTAACTCTATCGACTAATATTGTAGATACAGTTACAATTGAAGAGATTATGGGTTATATTATTGTGTATCTAATGGAGCAATAAATTATATTTTTTATAATTTATATTTTAATTTATATTTTTATAATTTTTATTTTTTATTTTTTTATTTTTAAATAAATATGTTTGACGTAACTGCACTTACGCCATTCTTCCATGAGGGATGATAACTGTTTTAAATTGTTCAAGTTCGGTTGGAAACGATGCTTGATGTCATTTTAAGTTCGATGGGATACTTTTCAGCATTGTCCGTATATACAAGTGCGCAATGTGCGTGTGTTGTGGAATGTTAAAACGTGACAGCAAACGTGGCTGATAACTGTGTGCTTAAATTTTGGTACTTTGAAATCTTACTGAACTTGGCTCATAATTATTTGTAACATGTTAAATGAGTCAGAAGTAAAAGAATCAAGAAAAGGTGTATTGCATTAAGTTTTCAGAGTACCATTTTATATCCATGTTGTTGCGATCACCACTAACTCAAAATAAATAAAGGTCAGAAAGCATAATACGAAGTATTATAAGTTCTGACCGAAGCTCCACGTGACGGCGAGACGTGAGGCTGAAATAAAAGTTAGTCAGCGAATATCAGTGTCGGGGGAAACCAGTGAAATTGCTATTTGCATTTAGCTTTGAATCAGGGCGAATTGCCAGGGAGCGTTGTTAGGCAAATATACTTCTTGGCTTCGGTTATTTGTTCTCACAGTCGAAGCAAGACACCTGAGAAAGAACCTACTTATTACATAATTTACATTTAACTTTCGCTTACGTAGTAATCCATGTTAGGGAATATGGCGTCAAATTTGAGTTGGCTAGACAGTAAATATGTAGAACGATACTTTTAAATATCATTATGAAATGAGTATGTAGTCATATGAGCTGCATTCTGGATCGGGTTGACTGCATCTAAACTGTTTTGAACGCAGCTTGTGTGACTGCACATTATTGGACAGGATGTCTAAAACGTTGCCTATATAAGATTGTGAATTCCAAACGATTACCTCTAGTGTAACTAGATTTCTTATCACTGTATGCCTTTTTATTTTTCCTCAGATACTTTGGAGCGGTTTCAAGCTCCATGGTTGCAATGCCTCTACCATGAGTCTACAGTGCCAGTTGTCGCTAGCAACCGCGCAAAATACTTCGCAAATTTGTATGGCAAATTGTAGAGCGCCCTGGCGGTCACAAGACCAAGAGTAATTTTCAGGTTAGCGTTCTCTACCTAATTTCGGTGGCAATTTTTATTATATAAATATTCAAGAATATTATCATGAAGTATTACTTAATTTTCGGGTGTAGAATACTGAAATATTATTTAAAATTTCTCGATAATATACTTAAGTATTTAAATAATAAAAATTGCCACCGAAATTAGGTAAAGTAAACTAAACTGAAAATTGTGGGCAGAAGTAACATTTTGTATACAAATATTTTACTCGGTCGAAAGCGACAAATGTTACTGTAAACTCAGGGCTGGCACTCAGTTTAATAAAAAAATCATACCATGGTAAGAAACCCTGTAATTAGCCACAATCGTTAAGTGAAAAATCACGGTTTTAAAATCTTATGTTAAGTACGCAAAATACAATATAGCTCTTTCAGGTTTCGTCTGACACTTCACCACATGTGCTTTAATAAGGCTACTCTTCAATGTTGAAACTTCTGAGATAACAATATTTACTTTGTGACGGTCAAATAATTCATGCAATGTCATGTGAAATGTCCAGAAACACATTGTTCGGTGTATTCAATCAAATCCTTCAATTGTTTCTATTTTAATGTCATTATTGATGAAAACCACTACAAACACTCTCCCAACTGAGCTATGGAACGAATCAGCAGACCTCACGAATTTTTCTATATGCTTGTTGCCGATCTTTGTTTTTGATTTAAACGGTTTTTTTGCTGTAGCGCCATCTGCGAGAAACCTATGAAAGTTTTTCCTTCACTCCTTTTACAGCTATCAGTGGCTGATAAGAGTTGTCGCATTATTTAATGCAATATTTATTTTATTGAATATCATGCTTGGTTTTAATTATTTCTATTTTAATGTTCTGGAAAGTGTTCAACTTGGAGTTGTAACTGAATGACAAGCTTTGTACTAACAAAGAAATAAGAGTTAAAACATGATGACTTTGAGGGTCATTTGCTTACTCACGAGATAGATTGAATGGGTAATATTTTTATGATACTTTGATTTGAACTTTCACGATTTTGGATTTTGTCCCTTCGAGACCATGGACTTGCATGCAACAACACGTCCGAAAGTCGAGGTAAATATGTTTTTAGACTTCTATATTTTAATCTGTCAATTACAATTTTCTAAACCATATCATAAGGGTGCTCTTTTTAGTTTTGAATGCAAATTCTATTGTCTATGGTACTCGCCATTGAGCTGAAAAATTTCATTATAGTTCTGTGTTAAAGTTCTATACACAGTACATTAATGATTTTCAAAAAAAGAACGTCGTATTTTTGCTAATTAAAATATAAATTAGGACGCTACTCAAACACTATACTGCCTACTGATTGGTTAACATCGAGTAAATAACCAGGAATAGACACGAAATGTCATTTAATCTGTTTGAAAACTATTCTGTCATATCATTACTGTGACAACTGCGCTCCGATTGGCCAGCCCGAGTTCGAAACAATTGACGGGTGTCGTCATTGTGTGTCGTCAACTGTTTCACTTCAAATCGACCAGTTAACTTGAACTTTGCTATAATGGACGAAAATTGCAAAATTACATATTTAATAATAATTATATATTTAATACTTAATTACCGATGAAATGTGATTCCGTTTGTTTTGTAATTAGATGTTTTGCTGTTTTTCCCACGCCACCGAATAGAACAGCACGGCATTGTTAGAGATATTATCTTTATTACAATAAATACAGAATATTTTTTGGAATATACGGAGACGTACACACAGGTCAGTAGTTGGCCTGTCTATATTTCAGTGCAAACGGAGTTGATATTTATAAGAGCTGTATCGCTAATGTGTTACCAGGAATATATGGCCCTTATTTCGTCTCTATTTCTGGTTATGTACTCGATGTTGGTTAAATTGGCCTAAAAGTGTTGCAACCGGGCCCTACGACTTTGTAAAAAAATGATTGGTTGAAATATATTGTACTTGGCCAGTTTTATCTTATCTCTTTGGTTTTATGTTTTGTAGCGTTCGTTTGGCTTTCGTCTAAATATATGAAGAGGCTGTGTGGTGAAACCTTTGCCTATCCTAATAAATGGGTTAAAATGTATAAAAAAAATTACGTTTTGTTGTCATGAATTGTTAACAAAATATACAATTCTTTAAATATTGGTTCTGTCTCATAATTTTATTTACTCGTAGGAAAAGTATTGTATGCAATCATCACATAATTAGGTCTTAAAATCTCGTACCTATTACTTAGACCACTTGGCAAAGCCTCATGGCCTAAACATGGTACTCAACTAGTAAGAACTCTCATTATGCAACGATTGCATAAAATACTATTTATACACGATTAAGACCCGATCTAACAACAAATAATATTTTTATAAACAGAAGAATGGGCATCATGCCCAGTTATTTGAATCGGGAAACAATTCTATTTAATTGCAATAGCGTTAAGTAAATCTAATGCTATTATTAATAAGCAACACAATGAACCAAGTTTTGCTTCGATAAAATAATGATAGTATTGTACTTGAAGTCAATTCAATGATTCAAAATCTGTCTTTGCCACTCGCTGTTAATCCTTTCTATATATTATTTGATTACTTTCTCTGATTTTTTTATAAGCAATGGCTGTATAAAAAATTGAAGTAAGAATTGCTTTGATTGCTTGATAGCTGTTTGAAATAGTAATGTAGTAAAAATTGGATCGGCCTAAATCGTTATAATCAACCCACGTATGCGACTCACGACTGTGCATGGGTCTCCTCTCAGGCGAGGGTTTAGCCTAAATAATTAGTACCAAATCGTCAGGTCAAATTTTGAAACAAATGGAGCTTTTTGTCATTTTGATTCTGCTTGAAGTTCTGATCAAAACGTTATAACGTTTTTGTTATAGAAGTAAATCCACAACAAATCTACTAAACTGTGGCTTGACGATTTAGAACAAATTTAAATCTGAATATTTTTAATTGTCACGACAGGAGAGAAATGCAATTTGATTGAACCCAAACAATTAATGCTGGACAGATCAGATGACAATTAAATTGAGAGTCGATGAATACACGAAGGGTTAGTGTGTACCTTTTTGGCCCAGGCCTGCGTGCCGCTAGCGAGTTCGCGCGGTGTCAAAATCTGCGCTCCCGTAGAGCCTGTAAACTGGCCGAGACTCGAGTCCTTTGTCCAGCCAAACTGTAGACATAAAACAAAACTATAATCAAAATACCCTAAGGAGCAAATAGATTAAGAAAGCCGGCGCTTTTTACGTTTGATGCGGAATCTTCTAGAGTTACAGAAATATAGCTATTTCCACCAAGAAATATTGCGGTTTTTACTAATTTTTGGACTAAGGTTTGGTCGGATTCCGGATATCCGGAGAGCACCTGGGCTGGATAGCGAGCCGCCGGATTTTTAACTCACTACCGTAAACATGTCGCGACCACTTGGCTTTTATAAAAGCGATTAATTTATTCGATAATACAAACAAATACATGTTAACACTGAAAAAGAAAATCGCAAATTCGGCGATACTTTAATATTAGTGCTGTTACTTTGTTGTGCCGAATGCAAATTTCTCGCGGTGTAGAAGGAAAAAAAAGCACTTACATCATTCTTTGGCTATATTCAAATTTCTAGTTGCTATATGTATAAGCCTAGCACTTGATACGCGCATTATTATTTTGTTTCAATTTTATTTCATTAATTTGTTTGTGATCTAACTAATTCTAAATATTAATACCAGATTTGACAAAAAAAAAAAAAATACCTATTACACGTTTCACTATTGTAGGTACACATTGTATTTGAAGACAGTTCAAATCGATCGTGATCGCGTTCTTTTCATTTGGTCGTCTGGCAATAACAAGTAGTACTTAAAATTTAACAAAGTTTGCAAGTGTTTATAGTGAAAAACTGTCCTCCGAAGCTGGTCTCGTTTATGAAAATAAATAGAAGCAACTTTTACCACTTAATGCAGAACAACTGGTCTTCATCAACCATAATTTGCCTTTAATGAAATTTGAGTACTAAATTTACAGATGTTCAGAACTCCTTAGTTATTTCAGTTTCAAGTAATAAACGGTTTGTCAACGATCCTGTAGTTGCTGTTTATTCTATTACTATCATCTTTATTTATTTTTATTTATTTATTTAATAGTTTATTGTACAGGAAAAATACAACAAGTCACAAAGAATACAAGCGAAATTAAAAACAAAAGGTTCTGCTTATTTCTAATAGAAATTTCTTCCTGCAGACCTAAATACAGGACACTATAACTAAAAGAACGGGCATATGTGCACAACAAAACAAGAAAAAAAAAATATAAAAAATAATATAAAAATATTAAATTGTTATAAATTATATAAATACTTAGATAAATACATATTTTATAATATAATACTTAAGATATGGATGGAATAGTAGATAAATAACGCTCTTTAACTCTCACTTTAAAAATAGCTAACGATTTACTTTCGTGAACAGTAATAATAATAATAATAACGCACACACTCAACATAGCCCCGCACTAGGGAAACCCTGTGTCGCGGGTGCCATGGACACACATAGACAACCACAAATTACACCCAAACTCACGAGAGAAATAAATGTAGGTCATACAAATATTTCTCCCGGCCCGGGAATCGAACCCGGGGACCTCTGCGTGGCAGTCCGGTATGGTAACCGTTCGGCCACGGAGGCAGTTATAATAGGAAGTGCATTCCAAAGTCTGACCGCATGAACAGTGAAGGAGTGAGAATAGAAACCGGAATTGAAGCATGGAAAAGATAACTGGGACCTAACAAGAGAGCGACAGGGTTTATCCTGGGACCTAAGGAAGCTGAAACGCTCTTTCAGGTACCCGGGAGACACAGGGTTATGTAAAATATTGTAAAGAATGGAGACAATATGCAAATTCCTGCGGAGACGGATGGGAAGCCATTTGAGCTGACTGCGGAAATGTGAAATACGGTCATATTTACGAAGCCCAAAGATGAACCTTATACATAGGTTTTGCAGTCGTTCAAGCTTATTTAGCAGTTCTTCAGTAGCATCCAAATAGCAGGAATCAGCATAGTCTAAGAAGGGCAAAATAAGTGTTTGGACTAAACATATTTTGGTTTTTAAAGGTAAATCGTTTTGGAGGCGCTTAAGTGAGTGCAAGGAGAAATGGACTTTACGACTGACTTCATTAATATGTGGAGTCCAAACCAAATTACAATCCAAAAGCAAGCCAAGATTAGTTGCAGTAGAAGCATAAGCAATAGGCGTGGAATTATACGCTATAGGTGGGACAGAATCTAGATGCAATATGCCACGCATATGCCCACTTCCCACAATCATAGCCTGTGACTTTTTGGGATTCACCAACAAACCAAAACACTCAGCCCAATGAGCGATGTTTCGTAAATCAGCATTAACCGCTTCAACGGCTGCAACGACATCAGACGCTTTAAAACTGCGGTATAGCTGCAAATCGTCAGCATAGAGATGAAAGTTTGAAGACAGCACAAAAGTGACAGAATTGATGAAAACAGAGAAAAGGAGAGGGGAAAGAACACCACCCTGAGGAACGCCAGCAACTAAGTCACACCAATCAGAGGAAGCCTCGTCAGAGCGAATACACTGCGAGCGGCCTCTGAGGTAGGAGTCGAACCAAGCTATAACCGAAGGAGAAATATTAAAAGAGCGAAGGGAAGCAAGCAATACGTCAAAGTCCACAGAGTTGAAAGCACTGCTGAAGTCCAGAAGTATAAGCAAAGTGAGAAGACCATTGTCCATTGCGAGGCGAATATCATCTGTTACCTTCAACAGTGCTATGGCCAGAACGAAAACCTGACTGAAACGGGGAAAGCAACTTATTAGAAGAAAGATACAACATTAACTGCTTGTTGACAATGTGTTCGAGGACTTTGGATAGAAATGGGAGAATGGAGATGGGACGGAATTCGGAAAGGCAAGTAGGGTTAGACGTTTTGGGTAAAGGTATAACATGGGCGAGTTTCCAATGAGAAGGGAAAGAACTAGCTTCTAAAGAGAAGTTAAAAACATGAGTGAGAATAGGGACAAGTTCAGGGAGTATGAGGCTAATCATACGGGAACTGAGATCATCATTGCCAACAGCAGTAGAAGAAATAGAAAGAATATGGGTTTTCACCTCACATTTGGTAACAGTCCGGAAGGAGAAAGAGGTACATGCCGGTAAAGTATAGTCAGCCAAAATGCGAAGGGTAGCGCTTTTACGACGCTTATCTAAAGTAACAGGGGGTAGGGAAAAATGTCTATTAAGCGCGTTAAGATCAGGAAGGGACGAATCACCAGAAGCAGTGGAACGACCAATCCCAATGGACTTTAGGAATTTCCAGATCTGAGTGGAATCGCATTTCTCAACGTTATCGTGAATGTGCCGTCTCTTAGCATCTCTACACAAGCGACTACAGCGATTACGCAGGTATTTAAAACGAGCTAGGTTGTCATCTGTAGGAAGCCTCTTCCAGCGTCGTTTCGCCTTATCTCTGAGAGCCATAGCGATCTTAATATCTTGTGATAACCAGGGGGCAGGTGCATGTCTGATTTTAACCCGTTTTAAAGGCGCATGACGATCATAAAGCCTTAATATAATTTCATTGAGCAAAGCTACCTTCCGATCAATAACTACGCAGTCCAACACAGGAGTCCAGTCAATATTACCCGCCTCACTCTTGAGCGACTCCAAATCAATGGCCTTGAAATTTAGGAGAATACGAAATTTCGACTTACACTTAGGAAAACGAATTTTATACGAGAGAAAGACAAGATCATGATAAGAAAATACAGAAGAGAACTGTCCATGGGAAGCACAATGCTCAAGGGACGAGTCTCGTCAAAAATCATATCTAAAAATAAATCATAAGATCAAGAAGAGATGGAATGCAGGTGGGAAAATGATGAGTAGCAGACAAAGGTAAAATATGCAAGTTGACAGAAGAAATTAGAGAAAGTAATTTATGGGCACGAGTGTCATTTTTTAGTAAACACGTGTTAAAGTCACCCATTAAAATAGTATGATCAAAGGAAGGAGAATGGTCGGAGAGTAGACACTCAAGGGACTGAAAGTAGTCGATATTAAGGGAGGGGCTATAAAAAACTGCAAGGAGCACTTTCTTGTGATGCAAGGAAATGTTTAAAAATAGGTGCTCCGCGGAGTTTGAATATAAGTTAGGAGAAGCATCAACAACAACATGTTGAATATCAGCTCGCAGATGTACTGCCACCCCTCCACCATTTTTACCCGTCCGGTCATTCCGAACGAGCTTAAATCCGGGAAGACTGAAATGAGTAGAAGGAAGAGAAGGTTTTAGAAAAGTTTCTGATATAAGAATAGCGTCAACAGGAGAATCTATGAAAGAAGCAAGAAGGTCAGAGTAGTGAGAGGGGACGCTTTGAGCATTGATATGAACAACATTGAAATTTTTGGGGAAATTGCAGAAGGCTGAAGATAACTGATCATGCAGAGTCAAAGCTATGGAATCATTACTGTCATCAGCACTAAGAAAATGGCTTGGAGATGAGGAGCACGAGTAAAAACTATCATTTATCCCTAAAGTAACATCCATATTATTATGAAAACTTTAATCAATAAATAAATTTATTTGGCGTACTGATTATGAATTTTTCTCAGTTTTAAACATCCGGTATCCGGCCGGATATTGTTCCGGTGCCCACCGGATAGTAAAAATAGGCCGGATACAGGATAGTTACCGAATATCCGTTTCTTCTCTAATAGATTTGCGATAAACAATATTTGGAGCAAGAAACCCTCCTTAACATTTAACACCGGCACAAAAAATTGTCTATTTTGAAGGCTAAGGCGAAGTTCATGAAACAAAATAACTTTACTTTAAGAACGATTCCAAGTAAAAAACCTAAGAACTTAGCTGTATTGGAAATAAATATTTAGTATTTTTATAGTTTGTTCCTTATCTATGAAATTGCCATTAGTAATAAAGGTATTAAGTAGTAAAAGAATGTGACAATGTAAAGGCTTCGAACATAAACCAGTACAGTGGTATGTGATTCCCTTTATTTGAAAACCAATATGTTAACAAATATGCGAAATAATGTAGCTGAAAATAATTTACCACGTAAGTTGGAAGCCTGACAAATTAATAACTTTTGGATTTTAAAATCAGCTGGTACTGACTCATGACATTGAAGAAACTAGTTCCGGAATAGTATGCATTCGGGCGAGGTCTAAATTAAGTTGGGGGTGGCACCCCATAAAAAGTACGTAAGTGTTATTTATTTTATTTACATTTAACCGTCATTGTTACTGCTATGAATAGAATCTGATGATGATGAGATATATTTGTACCTACCTACTGCAGCTGCTGACCACAGCTCAGAGAATTCTACTTTAGTCAGTGGCTGTACTTTATAAGCGTCGGCCTTTTCCCAAGTAACATGTTATACTTAGTACTTACCTAGCTTTCACATAAATGTACTTTACCTAATGTGGGGCTTCATTGAACAATAAGTTAATTTGTTATTAAAATATTAGTAAATAAAATGGTTTTTTTACTTACCCCTCGCGTTGAAGAAACTTCAGTCTCTTCCTGTTCTTTACGTATCATGGCAATTTTCTCAGACACGATTGCGGCATAATCCTGTCCACAAATAAATACATACATTTGAGCTTTTATTTTTATTTTAAAGTAGTGACATTTACATGTCGCACAAGGTTCCTAACAAGTGTGGTCTACAATGGGATGATGTGTAATGACGATGAAGAGACGTATAGGAAAAAAAAAATTAGCTGTTGTCATTTATATCACAAAGAAACGTTTTGTTTTGTGTATGATAGTTGCTTGCCAGTAGGTAGATAAAGCATTTATTTAGTGCAGACATAGGGATGTAAGGGTTCCACAAAATTAGTCGACGAGGATTCACACCTTCGACTCTGCCGATCGGTCGTCGCAACGTTTGTTAAATTACGTTCTCCAGATTATTGGGTACGGATTTGGGATCAATACAGGAGTAGCAATATGTTATTTAGTTTTTTATATTTTTTGTGAAAATACTCCACTACTTTTGTTATTATTAATGATACAAAGACCGAACGACACAAAGAAAAATTCCTTGGATCTCGCTGGACTTGAACCAGCGCCTGTTGCCACACCGGAGCCATAATAGCATTGGAGTTTTTTAGGAGTTCGCACGCTGTCTACATCTAGGGCCCATTAGGTGTGAAACACGCAGAGCGCGGATGTGAGTCGGGTGCGGGTCGGGTCGACACCGCGGCGGGTATAATTCCGTGTATTTATATGGACGACAACATATAGAGCGCGAGCGCGGGACGGGCGCACTCGTTTCACGCTTTAGGGCTCATTCAGAGTGTAGGCGTGGGTACGGCGGCGGGTGCGGGCGCGTGGGTCTTGTCATCTCGTCTTTCACAGTGCCGAAGCGGCTACGAGCGCGTATAGCATAGATTTACACGTCGAAAACGCAAACAGGCCCTAGACTAAGCACTGTGAAAGGTACGGGCCAATAGATCTAACCGCGCGGCGCGCGCCCATTTGATTTGTCACTCTGAATAAGGCCTTAGACACTGTCGTATACATCTGTAGATGCAAACGTACGACCGAAATGGTTGTTGGAAGCGTTCCGATGTAAGGCGTAACTTCGTTTCAGAAATATACCCAGACGATTTTTCAAACTAGCTTAAAAGACTCCCTGACGACTATTTTGGTGGAACCGTAATGTACATTGAAAGTACGCATGAGCACAATAGGCATGTCAGCTACTGGCATGTTTATTTTGCCCTATATAGGTACATGTAAACGATATACTAACAATTTTCGGTCCATCAATTCCAGGTGGGTAGGCTTGAGGTCCAGGCGCTGGTAACGCGGGAACCGATGTGAGTTCTGCAAAGAATATTATTACATTTTGACATTTTTCTTCATTTTGATTAATAATTATGCAATATCTGACTGAAAAAGAATAGTTATTTATTTTATTGATGCTTTATAATTACTTTTGCTATTGTGGACGTTGACAGAGAAAGAGAGACAAAGTTACGAGATAGATACAACCAACAACACGTAATTTATATTTGTTTTAACAGCTTATACTTTTTTTATTTTTAGAATTTAAAAAGGGGTAAAATATAGTTAACTAAACAGAGACCTACAAAACTGTATTATGTTATTTATAAATTATTATGTATAAATTTCACAAATGTTTATTTCACTGTTCTTCGGATTGCTCATTGATGCAAACGTGTATATCAAATTGCAAGTGAGCAAGTTTTAATTCGAGCAACCGAGAGTATGGTAATGGCGTGTTGCGAAAGCAAAAGAATTTTATTAATTTTCTACTACTGCTCAAAGCAATAACAAAAACCACGTCAAGAGCACGTCATGTATGCCGGAAGTTCCAGTTTGCAATAAATAATGTTATGGCTAACGAAGCACATACATACATACATAACGAAGATTTTTGTACAAAACAAACAAAGACCAAAAAATATTGTTATCTTTTATTCTATTCTTAAAAAGGAAACTACGCATTTGTATTTTGGCAATTTCCGAGATATTGTCACCTAGTTTTTTCTTTCAAAAATTTATTTTGCTTAACATTAAAATTGAAATAAAAGATAAAAAAGCCACTCATAGCGGGTTGTAGATCTCGTTTCGCTGATATGTTAATAACTCAATTTCGCTAAAAAGTCGATTAAGTTTATTATAAGCACGGCAGTATAGTTTATTGCAGGATATTGGCAAATCTCTTCATCACGATGGCAAGCGACGCGGATAAAAGCAGCAATTTTTGGGCCACAATAATATAGTGAATGTCACCGATACGATTAGAAATAGTGTTTCGATTCAACGAGCTCATCGAGATCGTCTACATCTTCGGCTTGAGTCTGGCGGCTACAGTGCGAGATAGATGTACCCTACGTTACGATGGCTTCTATTCCCATAGCAATCACCCACAAACAATAAAGCTTCGATGAGAAACAAAGTCTTCTCTACGGATTATTACGTTACGTAAATTTACTTACGAGATCCAGTAGTGAAATTCTTCAAATAAGCAGGGTCAGTTGCTGAAGGCACAGGCGGAGCGGGCAAAGCCAGAGGTCCGGGCCTGTTCAATTCAGAATTCATTAATAATATTGCACCTACATACATTGCACAAATAAGCAAATGAATTGGATATCTTTTAGCAATGAAGAAGTTTGAACTGCCTCCAAAGCCGAACGGTTACCATGCTGGTCTGCCACGCAGAGGTCCCGGGTTCGATTCTCGGACCGAGGGAAATATTTGTATGGCGTACATTTATTTCTCTCTTGAGTTTGGGAGTAATTTGTGGTTGTCCATGGGTGTGTCCATGGCACCCGAGATACAGGGTTCCCTAATGCGAGGCTATGAGTGTGTGCATTTAAAAAAAGTATCAAAGTTGCACAGTATATAAAGGATTTAAAAAAATATTATTTAATGTAAAAACACGTTTTAAAGTACTGAGAAAAGGTTATTTTTAACCAAAGGTATTTTTAACCAACTCACTTTGGTTCGGGAGTAGTGGAACCGGAGGTGGGTTCTGTAGTCTTCGGTACTGATGCTGGCTTCGAGTTCAGCTTAGCCACTTGCTGCAGAAAAAATAATCGATTAGTTCAAGAATATAAAGTGTACATTTTCACACTATATGTATATTTTAGAATATGTAGTCGTGTTGGGTGCTGGGCAACTATTTACAAAAAAAAAATACAATAACATTTCGACTGTGAACTGGCAACCGGTACTATCTCAATTTTGACAACTTTACATGATGAAGAAAAAAATTGTTTGCGTCATTTATATAGCATTTGGTTTATTAAATGAAAATAAGTAGTGTATATGTAATAAAAATATTTAATGTGTGTTTATCTGGATGTTATATAAACGACGCAAACAATTTTATATATATAATTTTTTTTTTTTTTTTTTATGAAATACCAGAGCAAAACTTTGAGCTGATGCAGTCCACAACTTACAGTAGTTTGCGACTCAGTATTTTTACGCGTAATGTGATATGTATTTTTTACGTTTGATACTAAAATCGATTTAAGTGCATTATGTGTGATGATCTTTAAACTTTCTTGTAAGTTCATGATATATTTTTTATACCTGTTTTTATTAAATATAAAATTTGAATTATTTCCAAAACAATATATTTTTTTTTATAATTTCAAGTGACGGGACGAACAAGTCGTGCGCCTGATGGTAAGCTACACGCCTGTCCATAACAGTTACAGTACCACTCAAGAGCTTTAAATTGCAAAGATCTGAGGGGCACTGCCACTGCCCCCGTCACCCTGAGACATAAGTTGATAAGTCCCATATGTCTGTAATTTCACCAGCACCCTTACCCTTCAAAACCGGAACACAGTAACGCTGACGTTACTGCTTGGCGGCAGAAATAGGTAAGGTGACAGTACGATCCTGGACGAACTCTTTCACAAGGCAAGGAGCTCTACTGTTACTAAATAATAATAATAATAATAATAATAATAAATCAGGTAATTAATGTGGTTGTGTGAGAACATGAGAAATATAAGAACCAGGACAAAGAAATTGACTCCGAGGCACTAACCAAAACAGCAAGATCAAAAGTAACTTAGTAAATATTGTTTCCCAAATGGTATTATTGACAATAGAACGTGGCATTTCCTTATATTTATGTTAACCACTGGGCCACCGAGGTTGTCATGTTATTTATTTTAACTTTTGTATCATAGGGAATGACTCATCAATTCATCACAAATATGGATCGGCTATTTTCGAAATTATTTTTTTAATAATGTATGAACTTTATAAAGGATGTAGTAAGTACATCGATATAATAGACTGGGAGGAGAGTTTCAAAACTCAAACATATTTTTTTAGAATTAAGGAGTGCCAAGATTCTACAGTATTCATAAGTATGATTCTCTGATCGATGATATAAGAGAAATTACCATGTCATTTTTCTTAGGTGATACAGGTACCCATTCAGAAGCCTTTTCTCTGTGTTGACTACCAGAGGATACCGGGAACTGCAGTCGTAGTTCTTCTTTATTCACTATGGCGAGAGGACCTGTGGTTTTCACGGGCAGAGGAGCGCCACCCTGGAATAAAAATAAGGGATTACTTAATTAGTTTTAATAGCAAAATATTATTTACAATTGACAATTGGATGAAAAGCAATAACGTGTCAACCAACATGATCATGGTTTTGCAAAAATGGCACCTGAATATTATTTCGTGGTTATGGCTAATGGATTTATCCATGTTAAGTCTTTTTACCACTATTATTTGAAGGTTTCAAATCACTTAGTTTATTATGACATTAATATCTAAATATTTTGTGAGTTAATACCAGAGAACAATACAGTAGAAGTGGTTAGTTAGCGTCAGACGCGTGCCAACTATGTCTCGAAAGAGCTATCTGAGTTCAGTCCGCCATTTTCGCTTTGTAAGGTATGGTTGTCATTGTTTCGTGCAAATTCTCTAAAATTCTCGAAAAATCCCTCATTGTGCTGTTTTAGAGTACAAAAATGATGAGCCGCATCAAAAATATTATCTGTAGTGGTATTTCATATCGTCGGAAAGACTTATTTTAATAAATTTTCAACTTTCTGTTTATTTAAATACTTTTTTGTTACGCAATATGGTCGCTTCTTTTTTGGAGAACTAAATTAATAACGCCAATTCGTCATCGTTCTGCAATTAACCGTTAGATGGCAGGACATCGATTGCAATTTCAATATAATATCAAAACGTCGAACTTGTAATAATAGGTATTGAACTTTTAACGATGTTCCGACAGGGTGAAGTTTAAATTATATTAACAATTCAGAATTTTTTATTTCTTCTTAAATTTGAAACTACGACCAATCAACATCAAGATTTTGTTGTGTTTCAAATTAAGAATGTCTGAGTTTTGGTGACATCGGTTCTGATAATAATCGAGGCTTAAGGCACTACCATTGTTTTTGTTCTTCCGTGCTGAACACTAACAATAACTTGCTTATCAGCATCCAACTAATGTTTTACAATAATTATTACTACTACTATTCTAATCAGTATCACCGCTTTTATATTATGGACCAATTTATTAGATCCATGTCTGAGCGCCATTTACTTTATTTCATTCCAAGTGAAGGAATGGACAAGTCGTGCGCCTGTTGGTGAGCGACACGCCTATCCATAACAGTTGCTGTGCCACTCACAGCTTTGGTTCGCAAAGGTCTAGATAAGGAGGCAATACTTCCCTGGAGAAACTCTTTCACAAGGAGCTCTACTGCTACTAATTTGTGGTGTTATAGTATGGTAATTTAAAAAAAAAGATGCCCTAACTTAGTTTAGTCTTTTGGTTATGATTTTTAGTGTATGTATGCACGAAGTATAATATATGCACGAAGAATTTCTTCAATTTGTTTGTGTGTAATGTTCGTTAGACACAGCGAAATTATACATATTTCGTTTTAGTCAACAATTGCCATCTGTTCATTTGTTTATGTAAGTGCTATGCTGAATCATTTTTAAACAGCTTGTAAACTCTTTTCACAGCTTTACTATAACTAAACAATTTTTGTTAGTAATTTTCGTACGAGTAATTCGCTTCCGGTATTTGTTACCTTCTTATACCATTCCCAAACTGTTTCCACTACTCATTCCACAAACAAATTATTTCAAAAATCTATGTGTGTAAATTAAAAAAAATAATTGTATCAATTGCCTACAGTGGTTGATAAAAAGTTCTTTCTTTTGGAATACCACATTAATAAAAAAAAAAACAATAAATATGTAAATATTTTTAGAAAAATATAAAATACTAACGACACAAGTATGGATACTAGTTACTACGAATTTTAGTTGAAAAGTGACAAAAGAGGTATTTAACGCAAAAATTATTCATTATTACGTGGTAAACCTGTGTAACGTCTTTAGTACATTAATATCAAGTGTATAAAAAAGTCAAGGTTATTTAAAAACTTACCCTAATATTCAAAACAATAGGCGGTTTTTCCTTAACCAAGAATGGATGGTGGAATGCAATAGTGTCTTCATTTTCACTCATATTCTCATCGCCGGAGGAGACTGAAGATAATTCTCCTAAAGCTTCCTTCTTTGACAGGTGCTTGCAGAAGTCTGTTAATTCATCTACTGATTTGCCTGGGGAGAGATAGGTTCATTATTAGGTTAGTTGCCTGTGCACTTCATAATTTACATACATATTATACAACTTAATATAAAATAAAAGATTATTTTAATAAGTTGATAGACCGAAATAGATACAAAAGATACAAAAACAATTCATTCACACTTAATTTTTTTTCTAATCTTATTTTTAATAAGTCCTGTAACACTTGGGTGTCAATGTCGGCGTTGATATGTCAATTCCTGTGGATTACTCTACTATATCGTGCCGCCTCGTAGTGAGACAAGACCTCACATATGAGTATAGAGTTTTAGCCCAACATTTAACTCCCCAACCTGCCAAATATCCGTCAATTGAAATTGGATTCTTAGGGTCGTATTCCAGAACTCTACTCAATACTCAAGTCAGGACTTGAGTATTGCAGTGAGCACTGTAAATCATACTCAAGTTTGCTCAAATCCTGACTTGAGCATTGAGTAGAGTTCTAGAATACGACCCTTAGAGTCGCATAATGGCCTTAAATGTTATAACGCTTATTACTAACTCTTAACTTAGGGAGGTGTAATCTTTATTGGGCGACTTACATATAAGTTAATAAAAACGGTGTCCCTTGAAATCGATTAGTGATTACATTGAATGGTTGCTTTTAATAAACTCTTGGAACGCGTGCAATACTTCAACTAAAGTAAACATGCCAGGAAAAACTTTCAAAGACTTGTACGAAGCAAGGAATCCAAAAAGTGGTCATCTTCATCAAAACAACTATATGGTAGGGTAAATAATAATTATCTATTGCTTATTTGGAAAGAGACTGCTCCAAGAAGAATGAACAAGAAAATCTGTTTAACTATTTTTCAACTATTCTTTTGGGATATCACACCAAGATACTACAAGGTTTGCAAGCAACTTAGCAACTTACCACCGGATTGTATAGCAGCCATGACTTGGTTCCTAGTATGTGGTGGCAACACGGCTGCTCCGGCTGGCACTGCCCCGTTCTTCAGCATGTTTATTGCGTTCCTTCTTGCTACTTCTAGAAGTCGTTTCTTTTCACTATCTGCTAGTTTTACGCCTTGTGGCGATCTATAAGACAGATTAATTCTTAACGTGGTGTAGGTGGGAGTTATGAATTATGTAAAAGATTGTGAAGAATTATATTTGACAGGGTTCCTAGGCCTTTACCTGCGGTAAGTCAATCATTGTAAACGGGTAATTTTCAGGTCAATTTCCTCTAGCTAGTTTTGGTGGCAATTTTTATTATTTCAGTATTTGAGTGTATTATCATGAAATATTAAAAGATATTTCAGGATATAGTCTAGGATATTTAAATAATAAAAAATGCCATCAAAATTTGATGGATTTTTTAACATAGCAATTATTGTACCATCTGCAGTTAGCTAATAGTAATAACAAGACAGTATCTTGAACCAGACGGTCGAAAAACACTTACCTAGATCTCCTACTTCTATGCCTAGGTGAATAATGTCTTGAGTGCCTACTTCTAGATGCTGATCGTCTCCTAGATCTTGATCTGCGTCGCGACCGAGACGACGACCGCCTTCGCGACCGTGATGATGATCTGTGTCGTGACCGGCTTCGTTTTTTTGATTTTGATATTGACCGATGATGTTTTGAAGGAGAACGAGATCTTGACCTTTTGGATTTGCTTGAAGATCTGATAGAAGAAATTTCATTACACTGAAATATCAATTCTAAAACCTAATTGCAGTAAAATGATTTTAATTTTAAGTATGAAATGATAACTAATTACCATGAATTGAAGAAATAGTTGTTGTTCTTCATTCTAAAGTTACAATTCAATACACTACCACAGTAACCCAGTCAAAATAATATTAATATTGCGCCACACAACCACACAAATTACATGGATTCATTTCATACTAGGGATTTCCCTGTACTATACTAGCACCATAGAAAGTGAATACAATCTGGGGCACTACCTAGAACTAACTCCAAACCAGAAGCAATTTAAAAAAGTTAATTTCCCAAATTGGTTTCCCAGATCGAAAATCGAACTCGGGACCTACTCATCCAGCGCCCACAAAGCAAACCATATGGCTACCAAGGTTGCCGGATCAGTCAAGCAGAGGTAGAATATTTGTTAGGAAGTGACTCATATTATGTTTACCTTCATAATTTTATTTACCTTTTGTGAGATTTACTGCTTTCACTCTTTGAAGATTTGCTTTCTTTTTCTGAATGTTTACTTTCTTTTTCTGAATGTTTGCTATCTTTCTCTGAATGTTTGCTATCTTTTTCTGAATGTTTGCTTTCTTTTTCTGAATGTTTGCTTTCCTTTTCTGAATTCTTGCTTTTCTTTATGTGATTCCTTTCTTCCTCAATTCTGAAAATTTGCAATTGTTAGTAAACTCATATTTTTAGTGCAAAAATGTCACTTATTTTATGAATTTATTTATATACATGGGGTGCACTATAAGTTTCCGGAACAAATAAGAAAAAAAAATGCTATAAATGGACAGAAATGAATTTATTGTTTCTCAAAATATTCTCCATTAGCGTTAATGCAGTTTTTGATAAGAATGAACCAATTTTGAAAACATTTATGCCACTCCTCTGTGACAATCTCTGAAATATATTTTTCATACTCTTCGACAGCCTCTTCAGGTGATGAAAATCGTGGACCGCGTAACTGGTTCTTAAGTTTTGGAAATAAATAGTTATACGATAACCTGTTATTCCACTGTTTTGTAGATTTGCATACAACTTGACAGTGATAGCGAATTAATATTGTTCACATTTCATTATAAATTTTTCATAACTTTTGATCTTCTCGCGTAATATTTAAGTAATTTTTGTTTTAAGGTCATTTTTGTAACTTTTGAGGAAATTCAATATATTTATTACTGTAAATCCTAAATAGTTACTTGGTACTTGGTGTAACGGGCTAGTGTCCGCAACTCGACGTCAAGGCGCCTAATTTGCGTGAAATCTTAAATAGTTAATCAAACACATACATTGCTCTGATCCCAAAGCGAGTAGCTAAAGCACTTGTGTTATGGAAATTGGAAACAACGATGGTACCACAAACACCCAAACCTGAGACAATATAGAAAAGTTAGTTTTCTACACTGACCCAGCCGGAGATCGAACCTGGGACCTCAGAGATAGCGACACCATGAAAACCGGTGTGCCACTCGACCATGGAGGCCGTCAAAAGACAAAAATGTAAATGAAATTTGAAAGAACATTAAATTGATTGATCAACATTATTCCAATTACAAAAAGCACAAAATCGTAGTTTCAAATAATTTCATGTTGTGTACTGAAAAATTATAATTGTAAGATCTGCAAATTGTGGCATCGTCGAATCATTTGAGTAGTGCAATTTTTGTCTGACAGCTATTCGCTACTCCATATTTAGTACTTTGCAGTAGTTTAGATAATTGTTCGCTAATGAGTGTGAATAATGCATTATATTAATAAACATCAATTCAGTGTTAGCTAAAAGGTAGGCGGCACAACCAACATACTGTAATGCAAGTGCATCACGAGATGATGTGAATGTGTGTGTACGCGGCGTTACCTTACTTGTCTTATTATACTATGGAGTTTGTGACATACCAGGGTACATTAAGTATGGTGCAAAATAATGTTTTGGATTCTTTGTAACATGCATTTGAAAATTACATGTACCAAAACTTTTGTTCTAAATACATAATCATAATAAAGTAATTGCTAAGTACATATCAAAAACATAGAACAAAATATAATAAAATAATTTCTGAGGTATGATCCACTGAATGTGTATTACTTCTGACATTTAAGTACAGCTACACATTGATGGACCATGTCCCGTTGTACTGGTTATATTAAAACAAAAGTGTATAGCATGATGTGGTATCTACTGTATACTGCATATTCTGAATTCTATTTATTCGCCATACATGAAGGTACTTCTATTGAAGACTTAAAAGATTCACCAAACAATAATTGCAATATTTTTATTTTCATGCAGATCAAAATAACACTTGTCTTTTTACTTACATCTTAATTTCTTCCTTAGCCTGCTGCTTTAAAATACCACTAGGGTCTGAGGTTTTTGGGAACTGCGATTTGGATAGTCCACCTTTTCCAGAGTTGCTAGATGAGTCTGTGTATTCTCCTTCTTCATACATCTTAGCCTTCTTTTTAGCTTCTTCTTCCACTTTCTTTACAGTTTCCTCATAAACAGAACTGAATTTTAAGTTTTTTATTTGAATTTTGCCCTTGTTTGTTTCAGCTTCAGCAGCATCCTCTTTCTTACTGTCCAGTTTTAATCGCAAGTCGTCAAAATTAGGCATCTCTGTAGGTGTAGTCGGCGTAAGAATCTCATCTGACTCCAAGGGCGGAGACCAACCAATTTCGCCATACTTAATAGATAGACGCCTTTTTTTCTCCGGGGCAGGAACGGGTTCTGACTTAACCTTTTCCACCTTGACTTTGATGTTTTCCGATTTAACTTTTTCATGTTTAACAATATCAGGGTCCGGTTTAACCTTCACAGGTGTCCGGGCTGGCGTATAGGAGTGTGATCTAGACCTATCTTTATGTTTTTTAGACTTACTTTTCTTTCGTTTTTTCCGCTTATGTGAATAATCACTATCGTCAGAATCACTACTGCTGCTGCTTCGGGCGCGTTTTTTCTTCTCCTTTTTGTGCTTCTTCTTACTCTTCTTTGATTTTTTCGCTGGAGTTTCCTCTATCTTGGGAGGATCAGCGTTGAAAGCACTGAAAATCTCCGAAAGAATTTCACTCGAGGATTTGGTCTTATCATCCTTCCTTTTACGCTCTGGAGTAGTTTTCTCCCTTTTAATCAAATGCTCAATTTTATCTATAAGGCTCGTCATTTTGCTAAAAAATGAGAAACTTGAAAAATCGCGATACTCACATGGAAAATACCAAGAATATTACAAACAATTAACCACCATATTGTTTTTTGTGTGTTGACGTTTCGACAACCCAACGTGCCGTATAATAGTAGTGTTGCCAAAATAGTCGAAGTAAAAACCGGTAAATTGACTGAAGGCGCCTAGCATCCTGGTATGGATCGTATTAGCGTGTGTCATACAATTTTAGTATGCTGCCGTTTCGTTTTTACTCGCTTATGCGTGCTTTCACAGTTTGTTATTTAATTAATAAAATGCTATTTCCATCGTTCCCATCACGACGTAACTAGTAAATACCCTGTACGTCAATAGCACATACAGCATAGCATACTTAAAAGGTATCTCATTAGTTTGTGTTGTGCATCCAGGTGTACGCTTTAAAAATATAATGTAATAATAATACCGCACACACTCAACGTAGCACTAAGGAAACCCTGTGTTGCGGGTGCCCTGGACACACACATAGACAACCACAAATTATACCCAAACTCACGAGATAAATTTTAGGCCATGCAAATATTTCTCCCGACCCGGGAATCGAACCTGGGACCTCTGCGTGGCAGTCCAGCATGGTAACCGTTCGGTTACGGAGGCATTTTTATTCGCCTGTACGAATACTTCGGTAGCTATGTACAGAGGGACTGAATAAAATAAACACCGATATATTTTTAACCTATTTTATAGATTTATAAAACGTTTAGCTAGTTTAGCAAATACCATAATTTTAGTAATACCTGTGATTACATATACTTTGTTAGTAACTCTTTTTTGTAATTATGATTACAACACATGCTTGCAGTACCTACGGTAGTGTTGCAGGGACGCCGTCTGCCTGGATCATAATGTCTCTTAGTAGTTCGTTTGGCTAGATCTAGCTGGAGTACCGACTTACGAAGGCTATAGGCAGTAGGGATGAACGATGGATGCGACAAGTTGAGGATCAGCCTTTTTTTAATATGAAAAGTCGTGCACCTGGTGATAAGCGAGCCGCCTGTTTATAGCAATTGCAGTGCCACTCAGAGCTTTAATTCGCAAAGAACTGAGGGGTACTGCCTGTGCATTCGTCACCCTGAGACATACGATGACAAGTCCCATGTGCCTGTAATTTCACTAGCAGTACTAGCACCCTTACCGTTCACCAAAACCGGAACGCAGTCATGCTTACATTCTTGGCGGCAGAAATAGGCAAGGTGGCTGTACCTATTTCTATTTATTCTTTTATTTCTAGTTCATCTAGGCAAATGCCTAAACGAACTTTTTCACAAGGAGCTCTAACGCTACTAAAATGTCCAGCAGATGATTGCAAGGAATGATGACGAAGGGTAAATTCCTACCAAGTAATATTTTACTGTATTTTCTGAAATAAAGGAAATCGGTACTACGTTATGCGAGCCTGTAAATTAAATGTATTAAATAATACAACCAAGCTTCGTATATCATTTTAATTCTTTTGTCAAACCTTTGCAAGGTAGGTTAGTGATAAACAATACAGAATGGACACTACAATCTTTGTTTTGCGGGAGTCACAAAATATACCGCTTTACAATTTTTCTGCTGGTTCGTAAGGACGGAAACGGTGTCCTTTTAATTTTATTAAAGTTTAAGATAAGGATAGGTGGATAGTGTTCAGAAAAAATGTTCTTACAATTAATAATTTCAATAAATTCTTGAACTACTTACTCGACATGTACCTACTTTTTAGTAGGGAAGCTTTTAGCATGATTGCATGTAATGACGGTGGGTTTCGAATCAACATCTATTGGTCTTGTCTTTCCTAAAATTATCTGTTGGTTTTTATTAAATATTTGTACCAATGACAATATTTCAATAGCTGCAAATTCGAAATCGAATAGGGTGACCCAATAGTTTATAGAATATTAAATTGTCCACTATCCTAAATTCTGATGGATACCAAATTGTTAGATTTAAGACAAGCACAAAGTTCTTCAAACAAAATGAAATACACAAGAACAATCATAGGTAATTTGGCAATAATTTATACAAAGTAAAATTTTGACAAATGTTCGTGGAAGCTCTTGTATTGAGCAAAATTTATAATTAATCAATCTCAACAATGTTTACGATGTCTTCTTTTACAATAAAACAAAAAAAGTCTACACTAGCCCTGTGCTCTTAAAAAATCATACTTAACATTCTGAAAATTATAATCACAGTTTGTGTAAGTTGGTTACAGAACTTGTGTCTAGAAAAATAAAAAAAGAATAATATTTATATATATTACTTAGACAAGAATTAATAGTATCACACATTGTTATAGATCCAATAATAGCGTAGTTAGTAAATTAACACCTCTAACCTTTTTATCGGGTACAATATTAATAGCAAACTTTTCCAATACAATACGTACAATATTACTTGTAAAATACATTCCCGTAATAAAATACCTACCTATCTACTTTTTTCGTATCAAATTTTAAATGATTTTCACATTATATCCCAACAATGTTAATTGTTTTAAATCTGTTTTGGATGCTTGTGATAAATAAAAATTTGTTTTAGCACCTACCTAACTATCGGACAAGATATTTTTCTACTAAATAGGAAATGAAAGTATAGTAAGGCTTGTTTTTAAGATCATATCACTCCGACTGCTTTAAAAATAGGTACTTTACGCATGTTTTTGTTGTACTTATAGTGCTTTGAAACACAAATTATACATAAGTAATTCTACTTAATTTTCGTTCATATTTTCACATGTTTCAAATATTACTCCATTCATCATCATAACTTGTTATTAATAATAATGGTGCTAGTTAATTTGACGGTTGTGCAAATTTTGGGGAATGTCGGCAACCTTTCTTTCTCATGTTTGCATTAACAGGTAAATTAAGTACCTATGCTAATGTTTTATCACACATCGAGATCATAACGGGTCCCAAAATTTTATAAACCATGAGACAGAACAGTCCCCGCTCGGTCAACGAGTGGTTATGAAGCGTTCGCCTAAATGAAATTGGGGCTCTACATCAAGTAACACTCGAGTTGAAAGAACCTGTCACTTGAAGGTACCTTATTCGCCTCGCTATAAATCTTCGCATTTTGATTAGCGAAGAAATCAAGAATTAAGAAATTACTAACACTAGCAAGTGTTTCTCGATAAGACATCCCCAAGAATCGTTGAGATCAGTAACTAGGCTAGCGCCAAAACACGCCGCAAACGGCTAAAGCTCTCGAATCTCCTTACAAAGCTTAGATAGAGGCGGCAACTAGCAAACATTTTTTTAGAAACTCTTGGACATATTTCAAGGACCATACACTCGTCAAGAAAGCATTCGTTGTCATCGTTTAAAGATTTGAAATTACTAGGAATTTGAAAAAGCTAATAGCAAAGAGGCCAGAACCATGAGTATTGCGTCAAACTCAGAGCTAGAGTTATTCGATTCGACGAGATAAGGCAGACCGAGAGCACCAGCCGCTCTAATCTTAAAGCTATTACTACTAAAGTTTCTAAGCGATCAAAGATCGCAAGCTAAATAGATTTTTTCAAAAGTCTTAAAAAAATAAAATCTGCTAGTGATCAACTCTTACGCTTTTAGCGGGGGCGCAAAACGGCACGCACCGTTCGAAAACGTTTCTCGAAGCCGAGTTTCGTGTATAGGGAACGGGACGCATCGTTTTCCGGACGAATCACGACAAAGGGTTTGTAGCCTCGCTGGGCGACTTCCTTGGTGAGTTTGCGGGCGAGATAGATGCCGTAGCCTTTCCTGCGGAACTCGGGGCGCGTTTGCATGGAGAACATAGCGCCGTAGTAGGACTGGACCATCCAGGCAGCGAGTTGGCCCTCCACAAATATACCGTATGCAGGCAGCTCAGCTACAAGCTTCTCGAAGACTTCGCGGCATTCGATGTCGCTCGCGGGGTACAAGTCGTGCACCGCTTTCATGTGTTCTGGCTGCAAACGAACTAACTCCACGTCCGGTGGCAGTCTGGAAATAAAATTGCTATTAATGAAATGACTATTAACGTCTTTTTTCCGTTTAGAGACAATGAGATTATTGCAGGTCACAGGCACAACGTAGTAACTAGGAAAAGTGTTTGCTTTGGATCAGGTTATTTTATTGTAACGCCTGTCCATTCGCTATTGCTTTGTAGAATAGGAAAAATCGCTTGCCTTGCGCAAATGTATTGTTTCTTGAAAACCATACCATTTTGCTTTATATATGTAGTTATTAAGGAAATTTTATATATGTATACCTGTGAAATTAGCAAAGTTAAGTTAGGAAAATTAACATTGCGAAAATTATATGTTGTGTTTAGTGTGCATTGATTTTAAAGTCACAATATCCCATTGCAGGTTAGACTGGGCCAAAATAACAATTACAATATTTAATTTGATTTGGTAATCGACTACATAGATATACTTCGCTAAGGATACTTCAAGTTTTAAGGATAACTTATTTTTGAGTGTATATTCATTATAATTATTATTAATACAAAGAGCAAACACAAAGAAAAAATCCTTTGATCTGACAGAATTCGTACTCATGCCAATCTAGGGCAACGAAAGGTTGCCTTAGATTGGCAACGAAGGAATTTTCCTTTGTATTCGATCTTTGTATTAATAATTACAACAAACTAGTGGAGTAGGTACTTTCCCAAAAAATAAATGAATATAATGGTAATATTAAATAAAATGTATGTATATTTCATGTCGAAAACCTACTCATCCGAGTCCGTCGTAGGAGGGTTCTCGCACACGTAAACGTCACCAGTGATTTTGTCATGTGCTTCATAGCGCTTTTCGAAGCGATTGACAATTGCCTCATGGGTAAAGTTCAGGTACAAAGGCTGTGTCAAGTCTAGGAGAACGTCCTCTGAGGTCAGCAGGTCAATTAGTTCCGCGCGCTCGGAAGGACAGAACGCCGTCACACTTTCGTAGGGGAGTTTGTTTGGCTGGAAAAACGACAAAAAAGTATTAATTTGAGTCATGAATTGACGTGTTTAACAATTAAATGAGATTCAGAAACAATAATAGGTTGTTTATGGCATAGTTTTAAAATACGGTCCGTAGAGAGATTTTAATGTGTATTCATGTTAAACGCAGATTTTGTTCGAGGTTAAGTCAATTATCTACCTGGGAGTGTACACGATAACAACTTTTTAATTATTAATAGCAAGACTTCAGGTTCACTTTTTAATCTACTTCATCATGAAATAAACTTTCAATGTTTTGTCCGCAATGAAAAATGTATTAACACTAGTGACGGAGAAAATTACAACTGAAATGCCGTGGAAGATAAAAAAGGAAAAAAGGTCTAACGTTTGCAAAGGTAACACTCGAATGGAGTGACAGGCTCTTAGTGGGAAACGACACGACACAGCATAAAGCTTGGAATGTCTTTTCCGAGCGCTAGTCTGTTTTTTACGTGCAGGTTTCGCGTCTATTAGATAATATATTACTATCATAGTTGCACTGTACTTTTGGATAATCCCTTTATACACACTTCTTAATGTTGCATAATTATAATTATGAAAACCAGTAGAGGTTTGTTATTTCTAGACGTACCAGAGCTTCGACATTATTTAAATTTTTCCGAAAATGAGTCGATGTATGTGTATAAACAAGTTACATCGTTAAATGTATATATTTCTATCGAGTTCTTAGGTTTTCGCGATTGTTACACATAAGAAATGAAACTATTTTTCCGGATTTAAATCGCGTATATTTGTTTTTTCAAACAAACCGACGTTTCGGGCCCTTTACAGGTCCCATGTATATATTTTATTTGTGAGTAGTGACACCAGTATATTAGGAGCGCAGTAGTATTTACTAAAATCGGAAAACTGTTTGAGTAATCTGTTAACGGTTAACGGTGTTGGTTACTGATTAAGTCACTATTTGTTATTTATAGCTATGCACGATTTGTAATGTGTAACTGTTTATTGACCCCAATAAATTAAAAAAATAATAAGAAAATAGTATTTGTAATTTAGTATAATGAGAGAGAGTCCGTGTGCTCGCTTCGGGGATTAAGCAGAGAGTGACGACGGAACGAAACAAAGTGAGAATGACGAGGCAAAAGAATTAAAGAACGATTCAAAATTTGAAAATAAGTTGCCAGGAACTAGAGCAAAGGTGATTAAAAGGAGGGATGACGATGGAGGATGTCGCATCGTCATAAACCGATTTTAAAAGTTTGTAGAATTACATTTATTTGCCAAGTTTTATTGGTGGTTCTACAGGTGGAATAATTTCTTCAAATTTGAATGGAACCACTATTAAGATACCCTCTTTCCAACAAAAAATAATAATTTAAATCGGTTCCCAAATGTCTAAGTAATCACGTAACATACAAAAAATACAGTCGAATTTTAAACCTTCTTTTTTGAAGTCGGTAAATTAAAATGAACAACTATTGTTCAACGACACACAAATGTTTTTTGTATATATAAATATATTTCAGTAATAGAATGACAATAAGACAAGTGTGCATCAGCTGTTCTGTACGTTCTACAGAAGTGCTTTGTTTTACGTAACGTAAAAGCTCTCGCTTAATTAAAAGTTTTGATACCGGGGTACCGAGCTACGCAATTGTTTTTATTACAAGATAGACTTGGCTTAAGAAGATTAGCAAAACATCGCACGATGCAACGTGACGCGGCGGTAGAGGAATTATTAGTTTCTACGACCTCCTAGGTGTGATGTGGGGTGATCATAATTGGACGCTCTAATTTTTGGATAATTTTGTGGATTTGATCCTTTTTGCTTAACTACGTTCATTTGTAACTAAGAACCGTATATATATTAGACATATTCTGATGTTAACAATTATCTGTCCGAGGTTTAAATGAATATCTAGAAATAATATCTATTACTGTAAATATCGAGTTCTTAGGTTTTCGCGATTGTTACACATAGGTAATGAAACTATTTTTCCAGGATTATAATCGCGTATATTTTATTTTTTTCAATCTAACCAACGTTTCGGGGCCTTTACAGGTCCCATGATTACGGTTGACTTAGGTGGTACAGTCATGGCGATGACCTATCGCATTGTAGAGTAGTAAAGTAGTAGTAGAGTAGTAAAGTATTGCATTATAGAGTTCACCTATTATCTTGCGCTTTAAAGAAAAAATTACAACCTAATTATTATTCAGAACGTAATTAAGGTACTGTTGAATTTACATATCAGTATCTATACATCTTCGGCCGCTGGCTATAACCCTAAGTCTGTTCTACAGATTTAAATACAAATTCTTAGAGGATGTAAAAATTCAAATTACTTTCGTTTTATCTACGGTTTTTCGATGTAGACTCTAAGCGATGCAGTACCTACCGATGCCGCAGCTAATCGTTTACCTTTACTCAAACGCGCGATTGTATCGTTACATATATTCGTCGTGGTATTTATAGGCGATTGCATTGATGCAATCGTGCTTTTGTATCGATGCAGTCGCGCGTTTCCATCGATGCAATCGATGCGTCGCTACTAAAAGCCGCCGTGTTCAACCACTCTAAACAACAAATTCTAATTTTGAATTAGAACGTTATCACCATTCTCTTTCCAACCTGAATACTTGTTATAATCAGTGGTGTGACCGTACTAAAGACATTATCGGTACACTGCCGCTTACCTACATTACGCCATGTGAAAACCACGATCCCCAGACAGCCACAGATAAACAAATTCCTCTAGTATGGCGATAAGGACGTTTCTGAGAAAGAGTACTAAATAAATAAACAGCTCTTACATGACTCGGATGAGCTGTATCAAACATTCCGCTAAGATAATTTATTTCTTCGGTAAAAGTCTTATGAAAGTTTAATTATATTTACAGGAAAACCGAATATTGGTAATGTGCACGATTAGATATTTACAGTACCATGATTTGTACTCGTGTTGTGTTGTAAAAAAATTGAGTCCGAGAGACTGCATTTTCAGACTTGACTTAATTTTACACGGTTCGGTGGCCCAAATCACTCTCGAGTCTGAGTCGAGTAGAGCTCATTGGAGCACGGACTCGAGTCTAAAAAGAACTCGAGTCGTAACCCTAACTCGAGGTTTGTTTGAAACTTGACTCGACACGAGTCGTGAAGAGCGACTCTAAAAAGTCTCAAGTGCGACAAGCAGGGTTCAAATTTATTGAACAGCTACTATTGCCCACGAATTAAAAAAAACATGAACGCGAATGGGCGCATTCTCATCATTTCATAACGTTTTTATTTATCGTTGGACGACTGTCGCGTCTAGCCTGTTCCCATATCACGACTATCTGTCGTGACTGCGTCGTGGACGTTTACTTTATCGTAGAAAGGCTGTCGTATCTAGCTGTTCCCACTACATCGTGATGACAATTTATCGGTTCACGGCAACCTTGTCGTTTGCACGACAGAATTGTTTGAAGCTGCGAATCAGTCATCACAGTTTTGTCATCACAGTAATGTTGTCAACAATACATACATGTTACTATAATAAAGTATACTATACTACTATACATGTTATTATACTACATTATATTCAGTTTAGGCTGAAAACGGAGACAATGTACTAGCGTATAATGTAACGTCTGTAGCAGAAATAGTCATGTCAAATGTTTTGGAATGATAACTCCACGGCAATTTCGCAATAATAGGTTATATATACGGGCTGTCTGTGCCATGTGCGACTTCGTGTCGCGTCGTGAAAGTACCATAAATATTGTAGATGGGCTATTTTGCTTCATTACATTATTTTATATTTATAAGTAAGTAACACAGCATTCAATCTTTTTTTTTTAATTCCTCGCCTCATCTAGGAATCCAACCGAACAAATGAAAAAAAATCCTGCATTTTTATGATGCTGATCGAAAGGGTGGATTGTAAAGATTAATTCCTTTTAAGTACTTAAATAATCCCAGTACAGAGTACTAAAAAACCGACCTCAAAAGTACGTGGAATTACATCTATTTGCCAAGTTTCATTGACATCGGTTACCGGAAAGTGAGCGAAACCAGATTCATCCCCTAGTTTGCCACACGTAGAGGTGGAATATTTTCTTCAAATTTAAATGGGACCACTACCGAGGCACCCTCTTTCAAAAAAAAAAGATCATCAAAATCGGTACATAAAGTGTTATCGCGTAACATACATACAAAAAAAAACATACAGTCAGTTAATTAGGGAGCTCGGTGAACTTAGCAGGTATCACGTAGTCATTTCGTTCATTCGTTCATTCATTTTATTTTCTTTATTTTTATTCTGTAACTTTTGTACTAAAGTAGAGTAGATTGTTTGTAAGTGTACTAACAAAATGAACTGTAAATTGTCTGCAATAAATGATTTTTATTTTTATTTATTTAGTTTAAGTTCAATAAAATTATTTACTTACTTTTAAAAATAAAGTAATGGCATGGCGCAAAATATCCTATCTACAATATTTAACGGTGTCTCCAACGCGGAGGTGTTTTCATCCACCATAAAAAAAATTAAAGAAATTGTTTTTTTTACCAAAGTCGTTACGGTTACCGTGTGTCTCTAAAACGCGTTATAGGTTAAAGTTCTTTCCCTCCGTGTCGCATAGCTGTGGGACTTCCTGTATATTTTACACAACAACTAAATAACGTTAGAAACCTTACTATGGCCGATCATAATCAACCAAACAGTTTCAACAAAGTTATCATTTAGGTACTTGACGTGTGACTGTGGTGAGATTTGGGTCAAATATTTGTAATAATAATAGTTATTTGCATTGAAACCTGAGCGAAGGAAGGACGCTAACATTCAAAAATAGAATCCTGTGCGTTGCGAGAGTTTCAAGACATGAGACGCAAAACAACTTTGCTGCCGAGCGAAACACACAACGTTTCTCCTCCCTATAGCGAGGAAAATGGTAGATGAAAGAAAATAAAAAAACAGTTTTAGTAAACAAAATTAGTTATCGTTGTCAATTTAATGTCTTCAATAATAAGATACAATATATCAATGGATTTATATTACAGAAATAATGTACAACAAATTGCGTAGTTGAACGTGTCGCTAAGCTTTTTTTCATCGAAAGAAAAATTTAGGTGCACCACAATCCATCATCAAGTCCGAGTTTAAAAAACCTTTTCCACGCTAGCGTGGAAAAAATGCTTTAGCGCACAATTTTTTAATGAGAAAGAAAGCCTTACCGAGCTAATGAGGTCAAAAATATCTTACCGTACTAGTACAGCCAGGAAAGTGCACGCAAATCGGATCCTCCGGCCAATTTTTCGCTACATAAAAATGGAAGTCCCACACCTTGTTGTTTAGATATGTTTGAATCGTCTGATGAAACTTGAAACAAAGAAAATGTAACAAATTGTTAATTGAAAGAGCACAACTTGCAGATCAATAGAAAAAAAACAATTGAAAACGAGAATAAATTGATTATTTCGAATTACTATATTTATCAGAACTTGGAATTCCGTTATTTATTTACAGCTAATACGTAACTATCTCAAGATCTAAACTTTCTCATTTGCATTGATTATTTCAAAATAAATTGTTTAGGACTCGGAATTCCGTTGTTTAAATCAAATAGACATTACGGCAAAAGATAAAATTATCGTTAGCTCAACTTTTTATATATATATATTATAGTGTAACCGACAAAATCATAACGTAAGCGACCCCACTTGTTATTGCAACCGATATAATATACATCACAATTTCGTCGTTTACTGTAAACAAAGTGGCAAAGAAACGTGTTGCATATTTTAAATCGCAAGTGAACGCCTGAAGACTCAAAAATCTTTAGATAGAGATAGTAAAAATATTATAAGCGCCAAAAAAGGCTTAACGTCCATTGTTTTAAAAAAAAAGTTTAGTTGTTACACAGTCGGCTACGGAATTCATTATCATATAATTATTAAAACTCAATTTAATATACCATTTATATGTAGAATTTTAAAAAAACCCTCTATTGTAAAATTTGTTTTTGTCGCTTACTTTAAGTCGGCGGTAATGGCTCGATATAGTCAAATTCATAAATACATGATAGAGTTGCAGGGCCGATAAATAAGAATTACATTTTCGTGATAACCTTGAAATGCTTAATATAATTGATTTGTGATCTTTTATATTCTCGATTAATGTTTTATTGACAAGATATCGCTAAATCAAGGAATAATTTTATTCTTAGATATCGTCTCTGCATCCATATTCCTTTATTTATGTACGTATTGTAAAGCGTCTTACTTTTAGAGATTCAGGCATATACTGCACTAAGAAATCGGCCACAGCTGGGAGCTCGTCTTCTGTTACCAATCGAAAGTTTTTCCCCTCAGGCACGATTTCCATCTCTAAAACAAACATACAATGTTTACTCATCATTTGTTTATACTACAACATCATGTTAAAATACAGGAACTTCAAAAGGTAAAGACTGAAGTAAAATAATAAAGTATTGCGAAAGTTGAGTTTATACCGGTTTATACCGGACTGACGTCTAATTTGGTAATTTTTTTATCGACTTCAAAAAAGGACGAGGTTCTCTATGCTACTGTATTTTTTTTGTGTGTATGTTACGTGCTTACTCCGACAATTCGTCGCCTTACTTTCTCAAACTCGTAGCTTAAAGCACAAAGTTACTGAAATGCAAAAAATGGATTGTACATACAAATTTTGCAGGCTGATTTCACGTAGCATTTCCTTCATATTCACACACTGGCTATCACCTATTCTTAAAGTAATGCTTCCAAATTAAAACCCTTCACAGAAATTTTAAAATAAATAGAAAGTTTTGCCATCTCCCTAATCATAACTCTTATAAGATACGAGTTTGAGAAAGTAAGGCATCGATTTGTGAATCGATTTCAATGATTCTTTTTTGTTGGAAAGGAGGTACCTTAGTAGTGGTCCCATTCGAATTTTAAGAAAATATTCTACCTCTAAAGGTGGCAAATTAAGGGATGAATCCGGTTTATTGGATTTCACTCACTTTCCGTTTACTGATTTCAATAAAACTTGTCAAATAGATGTAATTCCACAACCTTTTGAGGTAACTTTTATTTATAAAAAAAAAATAATTATTTCAGATTCCGTATGTACCTAATGGCAAATGAGTAATTCCTTGTAGTACGAGACGTCTGTGGCCATCTGTATGTCAAGGTTGTCTTTTTTAGAAACTACAATTGCTACCGATTTCATATTTGGCATACTTATACGGCTTGGTTGTCAACTCTATTCTAGAAGAAAGGATTTGGAATCATTTCTTTTTTTAAAAAGGTCTTAAATGGATATCAAATCTAAAAATAAATCAAGTAGGTCGAGTAGGATTTCATTGTTGAAAGAGCTTTACATATTCCGAAAGCTTTATTCTTTTTATTGACGAAAATGTAAAAAATGCCCGGCTTTATATTTACAGAAAGATTTCAAAAGAACAACCTCCAAATTCAAAACAAACTCAGTTTAAATTGCTCTCTATCCAAGCACACTTCATTTAAATAAATAAAAAGAAAATGTTTCCGTAGCGTGTTGCGCTGGCAACTCCACTTTGCACCCCTCAATTACGCTACCCTCATTATTGCGCCCAATGCATCGTGGTTCAAGGGCAGTTGTGACGTCAAATCCGCAGCATAACATACAAATGCTTTTACAATTATTATAATGGCTACTATTGTTAAATGGATTTTGGCAAATATATTAGAATGACAGTAAAACAGTCTTCATTTGGATTAAAAATAAACGTAGCTTTATTAGCAAACCGTTAGCCGCCTGTAATCGTGTGAAATGTGGCTTATATTTAATAATAGATAGGAATATAAGTAATATACCATCAATATTTCGTTTAAGATTAAGAAATTTTAAAATTGCTGTTGTCGATTTTGGACCAGTTTACATTTCTGCGGAACCGAATGCAAGTGAAGTTTTATAAACATAGCGTCATGAATTTTGGCATTTCTGTAATGTATACACTAGATACGAGTCTAAAAACTAGTCACGCATCTTCCGAACAATTCTCGCAGTTTCTGGGGATTCGCACAGCTAACTTATCGTACCTGGTTTGTACGCTACACAATTCAAATAATGATCATTATGCTATGTATTTTAGTAGCAGTAGAGCTCTTTGTGAAAGAGTTCGTCCAGAAGTACTGCTACCTTACCTATTACTACCGCCATGCAGTAACGTGAGCATTACTGCGTTCCGCTTTAGAAGGGTAAGGGTGTTGGTGAAATTACAGGCATACGGGACTTGTCAATATATGTCTCACGGTGACGGGCACAGCGGCTCTGAGTGGCACTGCAACTGTTATGAATAGGCGTGTCGCTTACCACCAGGCGCACTACTTGTTCGTCCCGTCAATTGGTATTGTTAAAAAAAGGAACAATTACATTACAAAAATTTGCTTCCATTGCATTCCTCGGCAATATAAATTGGACCTTTGAATTGGCTAAAACAAAAATGAAAAACATTCTTTATAATGCAACTATTAATATTTTACAAAGAAATTTAGGTTATTAATTAGACATATTGCTATGCATCAACTCATACATTCCGTTGCTTATCGCGGGTCACCTATAAATAGAGAAAGCATAGGTCATTATTCTCTCATTATTCTTCTAAAAGATTCGTTGCAGAAAACAAAATGGGAATTCTTGCGTGGAAGTTCCCTCCCATCGTAAAAAGCAAACTCTTTTAAAATTAAAGAAAAAAAAAAGAAAAAAAGAGAAAAAAACTGTAAAATAAGGTTAAGAAAAGTCACACAAGACAAGCTTAACTATATGGCATACAACGACATACAACTAGTATTTACATATAGTTCCATAGGAACCACGAACGATTTTTATGTTCTCACGCCATGCTAGATTAGGTCTATGTCATGTCCTTGGCCTTGTCACGATATTATGAAAATGGTCGTAACTTTTTTATAGATCAGTTGATGATACTTAGGTTTAATTTATTATATTTCTACTCAAGAGGGTATCCTGATAGGCCGTGTGGCCACGTTAAGCATTTCGTGTTTGATGTACATTGAAATAATATGGAGGAATGGCTGAATATCATTACGTTTCATTGCGTAGTATTCACAATGGGATTAATATTCGTTTATATGAAGCTTAATAGCCGGGCTGTTCTCTTGTTATCTCGATTTTTAACGAGTTACGACAATACTTAGATTTCATTGATTTATTTTAATGCACCATTTTGTAAAATGTCACTAATTAATCCGTAATAAACATATCAATATGAGTAAATTGACTAATTATCTTTATATTATCTGTTTCGTGTAAACAGTCAATTTCAATTAAACGTAGCGTAGGCGCATCTAATCAAAACGTCTACGTAGACGTTTGTAGCACGATACATTGTCTACGTGGCGTAGTAATTACAATGGCGGCGTAGGTGAAAATTGTAGTAATTATCTTTAATTAAAGTGTAGCATGTTTTCAATAATTGAAGTGTCATTCTCTATCACGGTGATAGCATTGCAAATGACAATTTTTCATCGATCGACTTAATGTACAGAGTAACGTCGCAGTAAGTGGGTAGGTTTTGAAAATAGATTCTTTTGTTTTTTTCTTTATATGCACTGTTCATATATTATTTTCGAACGGTTTTAAAATTTAAAAAAATATCTTTGTTGGTTTGTCTTGCGTTTGCACAAATAGTATTTTTCTAAGAACATTTAAAAAATGTCCCGTTTCAAGTCTATAAGGCTTCGTGTATAGATTTAAATATGTATTGCTACCTTGCAGTGCGGTCAATTTGCATAGCATGTGACCCTGACCGTGGCTTATTATGCGGGTGGTGTATCGCTGTTGAACTGCATACATTTAGTTACTATCAATATTATAGTCCATTTAAACCAAAATGTATGTTATTATTATAATATACTAAGCAGTATTTTTAATTAATAGACCAAATTTATTGCTAATTGACTAGGCGTTTAATAACACACTTTGGATACACAAAGCTTATTCTAAACACAAATTTTCAAGTTGCAATGACTTCAAAAAAACGAATAGGCTCTCAATTGGACTGTATTTTTTTGTGTGTTTTTATATCCTACGCGATTACTTCTTAGTTCGATTTCGATGGGTTGTCACACACTTCCTGTTAACCGATTTCAATAAAACTAATAGAAGGTAGGCAAATAGAAGATTCCACAAAAATTTCGAGGTCAGTTGTTTTTTCATAAAAAAGTTAAAATATAAATTGCACTACACATTACAGCCGCTAAATTAGAAATAATATGCGAGAAGGTAACATTCCCACTTGGATAAATAACCCTTTGAAGTTCTGTCATGAGATAATATCATAAGTTTAGGCCAGCTGCACCTGATGGATGGGCTACTTTAAATAGTTAATAGGTTCATTCATTAATTAGCAAGAGCGGTTGTATACGTACCTTTTATTTATATTAGAGACAGGCCGGCTCACGTTTGTCTAAATCTCGCCTAATATGAATAAAACATGAGGAGAAAGGTTGTGCACCTAGTACATGCTTGTTCACTTTGTCATTAATTATATATAAGTTGTGTCAATCGGGGGAAACAGAAACCGGCAAAGGGACAATCTGTATTTTGTTTAGGAGTTATTGTATCGAGTGTTTTATGAATTGTTGCATTAATTACACAGATTAAAGTATACAATGTGATATGTTGTAATCAACAACATACGTTCTTTTAACGTTGGATTTATGAACTTCATTTATTCTTAAATTAATTTTGTAGATAAGAGAACGTAAAGTGCCAAATAGTAATTTTTTCGACTCATAGCCCCGCACTAGGGAAACCCTGCCTCGCGGTTGCCATGGATACACATATAAATAACCACAAATTACACCCAAAGTCATGAGAGAAATAAATTAGGCCATGCAAATATTTCTTCCGGTCCGGGAATCGAACCCGGGACCTCTGCGTAGCAAAGCAGCATAGTAACCGTTCGGCCACGAAGGCAGAATTTTTACTACATAGCGTTTCAAAGGGAACGAGGTTCTTAATTATACATTTAAAATCAATCTTAGAGTCCAATAAAATATGTTAATTAAAAACAAACGACAATAGGACTTAATATCTTTTACCATTGCGTGATTTTTAACATTCTGTCAAGGTAGAAGAGCTAGAAGGTCGGGGTGGAAAGCTAAAGGGAGAGGTAGGCGGGTATGCAATCAAAGGATGGAGAATGATAAAGTATAACAATAAGTTTACATCAAAAAGAACCTGAGGGTGTTATGTAGGAGAGTAGAGTGGTGTGGTGTGTAGATAAAGAAGATCGAAGTTGGATATACGGAGTTGCGGACCTCTGCCCTCCAAGGTTGGAGACCGAGAGCAGAGGTGTAGAGCCGGGAAGCAGCGC